GAATGCAGCCAGTGGTTTCTCAGAACACCAGGATATGAGCAGGGGGAAGATGCCCGCACACACATGGCGATGTGAAATTCGGTATTTCGCAAAATGAACCACCACCACTTGATTGAAAGTTCTCAGTTTTCTGTACTGTTTAATTTAATTTTGTTTCAAATGAAGAAATTAGCGTTACACCCATATTTGAGGACTAGCCAAACTGCATGACTTCACATCGCCTTTAGAGCAGTATTGGATTACATAACTTTTTAGCTTGTTTGCTCCCAACATCCTGAGATCCGGGATTTTCTATATGGTTCAGAATGGAGATGTGGGCCTGAGAGGGTTTCCATCGCTGGGGCTGGCCAGACCTTCATGATGTCACCTGAGTAACACATCTGTGTTCTTTCAGTTGGGTTGGCATGTGTAGGAGAGAAAATCTTACTTTGGGGGAAAAGCCGGAGAGATTATATTGGGCCTTTTTCTTTACCACTAATTTCTTGCCTTGCTCTTTAATTATGTCTGTTCTCACAGGCTGATTTCCCTAGTTTTGATCACACAGTACAGAGCCTCCCTCAGTACGTTCTGTTCCTTTCACTAGGTCTCTGACCAATTACAGGAACATACTCCTCTCTTCTCCAAATAGCCATTACTGGCTGAAATCAAGAAACCAACTCAAAGTATTTCAGGGAAATTAAGACACAATCAGGAAAAAACCTGAAGCGATTCCTTCATTTTTTTTAAAAAATGCCATTAAAAAGGCATTCTTATTATAATTTCAGGTAATAACTTTAATAAGTTATTCATATCTATTGGTATAATTATCAAATATGTATATTAACAATTTCTGCAATCTCATGGGATCTCATTGGATATTTCAAAAGAGATCTAAAAATAACATTTCCTTCATTATCTCTGACCTGGAGTATTATAAACCAGGATCTTATTTTCCTTTGTTCAGCACAAAAAACGTGGTTGCAGAGTCACAGGGAGGGCAGAAAATAGAGCAACTGATTTAAAATGATTTAAAACCGATTTTTAGCAGATTAACAATAAAGAGATGAAACCCAGTTTTAGCTAGAATTACAAAGTAGTAGTCTTTGATAGAAACAAAAGCATGTGTCAGCCTAAAGCCCAGAGGCAGGTTTGCAGTAAAGCTCTTAAAATTCACAATGTCCTGGCTTTTCATTTTTATAGGCCCTTTCTAAGGCTCTGAATCAAATTTTGTATTTGTAATTTCTATTCCTTAAAAAAATGACAAAAAACAACTCCTCCCTTATGTAAGTTTCCTGAATATAAAGCCTAGATGCACCCATCTAAGGCCTATAAGCCAAGGAAGCTCCAATACACCTTATTTACAGATAGAAAAGCCATGTCTTCTCAAGACCAGTAACTCAAATGTGCACAATGAGTGTTTTGACTTTTTTCCCCCTTAGACACAGCAGTAAAAGTTCTCACAGGTATACAGATGAAGATTTCTATGGACTGAAAACAATACACTATTTCAATGACTCTAGAAGTAGGTTATACTGTCCCTCTTAGTAGCTTTGCTGCTATGTAACCATCCATTTTATCAAGAGTCTTGTCAGTGGGGCTTGTATAATATTTGTATTTTCATTACCACATTAGTCAATCGGTGCCAAGTGTTAGGTTGAACCCTAAAGAATTGCCAATATACAACAAATCATGACCTGAAAAACTAGTTTCATAGGGTTTGGCTTAATGGTGTTCAACCATATGTTAATTACAAAAGCAAAAGCTGGCAATATACCTTATGGGAGTAGTTTAGCTTTTGTTTCTAAAGAGAGTTGCTTCCAAATTCTACACTAGAGCTGTCTAACAGAAAAAGAACTTCCCGTTTCTGGTTCTGCATGTAAAGAGCTTGGAAGTGGCCACTTCATCTTAACAACTGGTACAAACCTGAACACTCTGAAAAATCAGTAAGTCTTCTTGGATCCATAAAAGAGGAGAAAACTGCTGCCTCTAGAATTGGAGAAACAGACAGGCAAATACAGGCCATCACTGCTTACAAGGCTAGAGACTCACGGGGTGTCTGGGCGGCTCACTAGGTTAAGTGTCCAACTTTGGCTCAGGTCATGATCTTGCAGTTCACGGGTTCAAGGCCTGCGTTGAGCTGCATGCTGACATTTCAGAGCCTGGGGCCTCCTTTGGATTTTGTGTCTCCCTCTCTCTCTGCCCCTCTCCTGCTCTCTCTCTCTCTCAAAAATAAAACATTAAAAATAAAAATAAAAATAAAATAAATAAAATAAAATAAAAAGACCAGAGATTCACAAGCAGGAACCAGTGCAAGAAACATTGCCAGGGTAGGAAAAACTGAACCATAATGCATGAATTGCAGAAGATTCAGTGCAAACAACTCTGAGAGATAAAAACTCCGGAGGGACACAGTCACACGGGGGACCCCACAATATTGTAAGATTTACCTCCAGGAGCTCTACCATGGGAGAACAATTCCATAGTACATCCAACATGGAGAGCAGAAAAGTAGCCACTTTGAAATATACCCAAGCACTCTGTTCTTGACATGGCCTACCCTTGAGGGCAACTAATTAACCAAAGGTTAACTAGCTGGAGTATCAGAACTTAATGGACCTAGAAAAGGGAAAAAGCAACTCCAGCCCACTCTAACCATCATGTGCCACCTAATGGTGGTGGAGAAAAAAACTGGGAAACTCTTGTGAAGTTCACAGTCCAGAGGCAGAGGTTCCATAAAAGACTGAAACCTCACCAATAGACTACAGAATGCTTCCCCTGCTGACTCAACACTAAGCTAGTAAGACCTGTTTATAGCAGTTTCTTTTCCCCAATGTCGTGTATAGCTAGCAAGAAAAAATTACAAGGCATACTAAAAGGCAAAAACATAATTTGAAGAGCCAGAGAAAGCATCAGAATGAGACATGGCAAGGATGTTGCAATTATCAAATTGGGAATTTAAAACAATTTTGACTAATGTGTTAAGGGCTCTAAAGGATAAAGTAGACATGCAAGAACAGAGAGATGGATAGATGGACAATGTAAGGGGAGAGATGGAAATCCTAAGAACAAAACGGAATGCTAGAGAAATAGAACACAGGGTACAAATGTCAGCCACGTATGTAATTTTAAGTTTTATGGTAATTGTATTAAAAAAGTAGAAAGAAACAGGTGAAATTAATTTTAATAATATACTTTATTTAATCCCATATAGCCAAAATAGTATTATTTAGACATGTAATCAGTATCAAAAATTAATGAAACATTTTACATTCTTTTTTTGTAGTGTCTTTGAATTATGATGTGTGCATTTACACTTTGTTATATCTCAGTTCAGATTAGACATATTTCAACTGCTCAAAATCCACATATGCCTAGTAGCTAGTGTATTGAAATTCTAGACCCTTCCCTTACAAACTGGGGGATCCTGGACATATGATTTAACCATTCTGCATCTGCTCACTTCCCCGTAAAATGGAGTTATATATATTTTTAAAAAACCTACATCATAAGGTAATATGTGAGGTTAAACAGGTTAACAGAGAACAGTACCTGGTAGGTGCTCAGCAAACTGCAATTATAGCATCATCATCTTAGGAAATGGGTCATTCAACTAGCCATTTTGTCTCTTTCACTTTGAATTTTAGTTGGTAGACATAAGCAAAGACTTACACGAACATTTCCCCCGCTATTTTTAACAATTTCTGGTCAGACATGTAACCAAAAGTTTAACAAATAGAATCACAGAATATCCTCAGAAATAACTGATGGTTTGATCCATTTATGAGATTAGAGTCTAGAGGGCTTACACATTCACTCTCAAGGTGGGGAAATATAGGCCCAGGTTACAGTCTGAATATAAAAAGCTCATTACAGTGGAATTGCTAAGAAGCCAAAGACAGAACAACTTGAGAAATATCAAGACTACCATTTACTGATCAGCAACTACAGGCCAAACACCAAAGGAAATTCTTTTCATGCGTAGATTCACTTAACAACAAGGAAGCAAAAACAAACTGTGCAAAACCTGTAAAGCAGGCAGTCTCATCCTCATTTTAAGATTAAAAAGAAACAAGGCTCAGAGTGGTTGACAAGCTTGGCGAAGTTGATATGGCCATTAGGTGATTCTCTTCTTTACCTCGACACCCTCTTTTTCTTATTCATCACATGAAGGTGATGTGGGCTGGGGGGCGGATAGGCCTGGTACTGGCCACTCTGCAGAGAAGTGTGAAATAATTGTGCTCAAGTGAAACACTTCCTTTATCAAGGAGTTGAGTATGAAAGATGAAACACAGAGGATCACAGAAAAAGGACTATTCTCTATTCTACCTAAACACTTGCATTGATGGTTTGTTTCCATGTGAGGTTTAGACAATGGGCACAAACTGGTTCTTTCATGAGATAAAGCAAGACAACCAGATTGAGCCCCAACTGCTTTTCTATTTGTTCCATTTATTAAGAGACTGGCAACTCACTTGCAAAGTCTGGTCTTATAGGCAACAGCCAAAGCACTTTGCGGGAACCAGGGTTTTTTGGTGCAGTGGTCTGGGTGAAACAGAAGAGTAGTTGCTCCCAACACCCATCCCAAAGAGCAACGTGGCTCTTGTTATATCTGGCTGGCTCCGCAACTATCCAAGTTATGGGGCTACAGGGGATACTGTCTAGACCGGTTCTTTTGGCCCTGGGGTTGGCAGAACATGGAACCAGAAAGCCGAGGCATGGCTCAAACATCTCTCTGCATTTTTTCTGGTAGACAGTCAAGCTGGATGGAAACTAAATCTCAAACAATGACCAAATAGCAATAAACAAGAGAATAAAAAGACTGCACAGGGCTTTCTTTAGTCCTTGGTACATATGCCCTGGCTCATGGGCTATAAACCATGACATTTCTGAAGTGAATATCCTTGAGAATAAGAGCACAGTCTTAAAGATGTATGACTTTCCCAGCTTGAGATGATTCTCATTGCAGGAGAGGTGTCCTCTAGCCTCAACGATAACACCATGATAGGAAAAACACATCAACATAGAATTGAAATAATTTATTTACCACTAGAGCACCACAAAACAGACATACATCATGTTAAAATACAGCATAATCAGTCATCAAAATACAAAACAGCTAATCTTATAGTCCATTTCTTTTTAAACCATGCCAACCAGAAAACTGTACTGCTGCTTAACATATAAAAACTGCAGCCCCACCCCACCCGTATACTAACATCTTCCCCTTCCCTCCCGCATCCCTCCCTGCCCGTGGCAATATTTACTTATGGGAAGTAAAGACCTTACAGAACCCCCAAACTTAAAAAAAAAAAGATTCAAGAGATCTTAAAATAGAGCATTTAAAATATTATCAGTGCATTCATGAGGAAAGACAAAATAATACAAAACAAACGTCATTCTATCTGAGAGGAAAACACCTGCAGAAATAAAAGTGATTTACATAGAATTCATCGAAAACGGAAGGAAAAAAAATCAACACACTCATTTCTGGGATTGGGTTACCCCCAACACAAAGATTGATCACCAGTAGGGCGTCCCCCCTCTCGCTTTTCCAGTTTTCAAATTTGCGAATCCAATTTGTCATTTAATTAAAGGCCAGGAAAAGTCAAGCATCTAGAAGTACAGGTTATCAGACAATTTCACTTGGATTCGCACCTCACCATCCTGCCCTTTAGGTGACGCTGCAAATATTCCATTGTTTTACCTATTAACTTTCATCTTACAGTTGAATAAGGGACAATTGGCAAACTGTCATCTCCTACAAACCCTGGCGGAAGGGTACCTTCCCTGCAACGATGTGGCAAATCATTCATTTATTAAAGCAAGGTAAATTCTCGCCTCAGATCTAGAGAAGTCTCATTCAGAGAAAAAAAATCACTTTTTGATCATGGGAGGATTTGGCTTGTACCTTTACAACCCCCAAAGAACACACATGAAAACCTTAACTTCCGTGAAATAAACTGAGTGACTTAGGCTGACCAGGGCGTTTTTTTTTTTTTTTTCTCCCTTAAAAAAGAAATCAAGAAATATGTAAATCTTTCCATTTCCCCCCAGAACACTAAAAACCTGATTAAAGGAAAAGATGTTTCCTATGAACTGTCTGATCTCTACTAACAATAGAATTCGGTGAGCATACTGTTTAAGCCAAGTTGCAGAAACCTTTCTTAACTCAGCCACAAAGATTCCGAGTTACAGTCAGATCCTTAGGCCTCTGCTAAAACTAAAATATTTCAGCTCAATTATGTATACATCTATAATATTCCCCAATTTTCCTAAAATAGAAGACTGTTAACATCTGAACTGATTAGTAAGGATGCTTAGAAGATGGAGGAAGACTACTGAACTTGAATCTGTCCTTTTCATAAAAGAAAATCTACAGGACAAGTGGACTCAGGTAGCTTATGTCATAATAATGGACAATGCACAAAGCACAGTGGAGGAAACACTATAAAACACAGATTTGTAGTGCAAGTCAAACTATAGGGGCTTTACTCGAAAGTACTGGCCAGCTAAAGGAAACACACAGTTCTGAGCGATCATTAAAAATAGAGCCCCAATTTAAGTCCAATCTAAATCATAGTTGACATTATTACAGAACATTAAAAATATGGTAAAAATTTACACATTGCATGTAAAGTAGTTAACGTTTTGATTTAATAGTTTGCAAAGGAGATCTGCAGATGTGTTTCCAATTATACTGGCTTCTATACCCATCTATTATAATAATATAGGTACGGTTACATATATCTGAAACGAAGGAAAAAACCAATAGCATAGCTATACGGCAATACTTTCAGGTCTGAAGTTTGACCAGTACGTATCAAAAACATTTCAACATTTCACTGGTTTAACTAAACTGACAAAGAACCATTTACAATTAAAAAGAAAAAAAAATCTTCCAGACTTATTCTGACTGAAAGTTCCTTTATTAACAGGCTTTTCAGTTTTGAACCTTACAAGAAGCTTCCTTAGGCAGTTGGTACATAGCATGTGCTTTCAGGGTCTTTATCTTAATGCAGGCTGGCTTGGTCATATAATAACTCGCTTGGGTTTTCATCCCGTGAATATGACCCCTTTTTTTCTGGCTCGTTTGAGTTCAAGTTCCTTAAGCCATCCATGAGTTTCTGGCAAAGTATTTGGTCTCCACTTTATACACCTGTTTTATTTTCCAAGGGCAATGAAATGTTCGTTATATAGTAACACACAATAAATAACTCACCGTTAACTCTAAAGGTAAGAACGGGAAGGGTCCCTATTGCATAGCAATACAGAAAAATCAAGTGAGGCATGGGATAGGAAAAGTATGTACAGCAATTCCACTTAATGGGATTTTCCTGTTTGTTTGGTTGTTCCTTTCACATAATTAACACTAACAAATTCTTCCAGTGTTTATTTTTGTCTTAAAAAAAAAAAAGGTTTTGCTTCTTGTCTCTCTCGCTTACAGAGTAGATGAAATGTAGAATAAAGCCTTCAATTTTTTGTTTTGTTTTGTTTCAGATGCCATTTTTAACAAACACAACCACAAACTTCCAACGTGTTTGAACTAGTACCGCTTTTTTCAAAATGTTTTTAACACTGTTGAAGCAAGGCTCTCTTACGTTTTCTTGTTACATTGTCATTGTTCTTGTCGTCCTCATCATCATCACCACCATGTGATTATCGTCCTGCCACTTCTTCAAGAATCTTAGCTGCATTTGCAAGACTTTACAATCATATTTGAAAGCTGTTCAATCTTGGGTGTTTTGCCGATATAGTAGAGAATGGTTAGCGGTTCTAAATCCTGGGACACACAGCAAGGAGAAGCAGATGCTTCTGGATTTATGGTGTTATATAAACTGAGAACCTGAAAGGACACAGGAGAAGGAAGAAAACATAGGAAAAAAACCAAAAAAAAAAAAATGGGGTGGCAATTACTTTAAAAAGAACCATTCCATACTGTTATCTTATCAGTCACAGTACTCAGTAGACAATTTAAATTATTTTTGGTCAATTTCCTTCTCTTAACCCCCAATTATGGTCAACTTGATATGTGTTCCTAGTAATCACTGAATTCATCATTTTCCTACAGAATCCTTTTCTCATACATCGTAAACAGATGATTTTGTAGAAACTCAGATTGCACAAAATCATTCATTCAACAGATTTTACAGTTTCCCCAATAATCCTTCACTTCGATCTCTACTTTGCTGCACATACTTGCCTGGCCGTCGAAAAAGCTGATCCTCTCAGTATCTGTTCTTGTGTCTACACTTCTTTGTAACCTAGTGTATATTTCCAATTCCCACCTAGATTAGAGTTCCCTTGTGGTCAGAGATTCTCTGGACTTTGTTTTGACCTGATGGCCCTAGTAAGTCTTCTCTGGATGAAAGGAGACTCCTGCACTCGGGGAAGAAGTGAATATACGGAGAAGTGGAAGAATCACAGGTTTCATTAAAACTACCACCCAAGCTTTCGTCTACCCTTAGCCACAGAAAAAGAGACCTGTCTGCAGTGTGAAACCTCTCTGTGCTGTGTCTTCTCAGGCAATTTAATATCACCTACATTTTCATTTAAAAGAGAGGGGCGCCTGGGTGGCGCAGTCGGTTAAGCGTCCGACTTCAGCCAGGTCACGATCCATGAGTTCGAGCCCCGCGTCGGGCTCTGGGCTGATGGCTCGGAGCCTGGAGCCTGTTTCCGATTCTGTGTCTCCCTCTCTCTCTGCCCCTCCCCCATTCATGCTCTGTCTCTCTCTGTCCCAAAAATAAATAAACGTTGAAAAAAAAATTAAAAAAAAAATAAATAAAAGAGAAAAAGATGCAAGTCTTTTCACTTATCATTGCTTCATAAATACGATCGAGAATTCAGCAGTTAAGAGTTAATTAAGAATGATATTAAAAGAAATCTGTTATTTTTACGCATTCACTTTCTTACGTTTTGCTTCAAACAACAATGATAATCAACCCTCCATTTAGGTTTCACGTGGCAAATGGTAGTGCCTAAGTTGGAGGGCGGATAGCCAGCCCTAAAATGGAATGAAGAGAAAGTTCTGGAGTCGGTTCTATGCCCCTAACTCCATTTTATATCAAAGGAGTATGCGACTTTTACCAGTGGAAGTATGTAGGTTCCCCAGTGATGATAAAGAGACATTTCCAAGGATTCCATTAATGTGTTAGGCAAACAGCAAGTGACCTTTTCCTCGACATTCACGGCCATTTTTTCAGCCTAAGACAGAAGGTCTGTTCAGTGCAGCAACACTGACTACTTTATTAAGCTACCTCTGGCTCCCTGGGTAACTGTCCAAACCACATATTTGTGACCATGACAGTTATTCTTCCTCTCTCCTTGAAAAACAAGCACGGTCTCAGCCTGCACACACTCCCTCTGTGTATCAGGGAGGGGAATTATGTTTCTACTTGGCAATTGGGCCTTGCCCACATTACAGCTACTGTGGCCACAGCCCAGTTGAAGCAGGCTGGCCAGAGAGCTCAGACAAAGGGACAGACATGAGCAAGCTTTCCTCACATGGCCAAGCACATGGTCAGCCTGGAGTGCCAAAATCTACAGGGGAGTTGGGAAAACAGCTGAAGGAAGGAGAGTCCTATTTGTCAATTTAAAGTCGAGCATATGTAGGCATTTATAAATAAAGGGACTTCATGTTCTGCTAGCACATGATTTTTCATATGCATTAAAGAGAAATTTTATAATGCAGATGGTCTAAAATAATTGATAACCCCAAAACTCTTGGATTCAGCTGAATGCATTATGTGATCCTTGCAGCAGATTCATTTTCCTACCCTGCAGTGAAGGCAATGTTTCTAATGCCTCTTTAATAAGGAGATTTACAGAGGCACAACCCCAATGTGTAGCCACATTTCAGGAATTAAACTCAGTAAGACAGAGCAAACGGAGGCCTGGTTATAAAGCCAGGAAGCCTGCCTTCCAAATGCCTTCCAAGTTTTGGTTTGTCACCAACTGTTTGATCCTGGGCAAGTAATCTACACAATCTGGACCTGGATTTCTTTAGAAAAATGAGATGTTTGGACAATATAACTTTCCATCTCTAAAACCCTACATTATGAGGTACCAGGAAAAAACACTTGGCTTGGACAGGCATCACTACATAGAAAAAGTCTTTGCTGATCTGGGCTACTAACCCATGACATCCAATCTAGGACTTGCTCTCTGAATTAGCCTTCTACCCTCCCTGAAGTAACTTGACAGAATATTTAGATTCTTGTTCACTTTGGGTTATAAAGACTTGGAGATCCTAATTTTCAAATCATTTTCACTTATTTCATCGTCTTGCTCTTTACATCTATTCTTGAGTTTGGCATTGTTATTTTAAAGATCACTTTTAACGTAAACATTCCTTGTTACTGATAAGAAATTGAGGCTTAGAGAAGTTAAATGACTTTTTAATCTTTATTTTTTTTAATATAATTTATTGTCAAGTTAGCTAACATATAGTGTATACAGTGTGCTCTTGGCTTCGGGAATAGATTCCCATGATTCATCGCTTATATACAATACCCAGTGCGCATCCCAACAAGTGTCCTCCTCAATGCCCATCACCCATTTTCCCTTCACCCTTGCTGCCCCCATCAACCCTCAGTTTGTTCTCCGTATTTAAGAGCCTCTTATGGTTTGCCTCCCTCTCTGTAACTATTTTTGTCCCTTCCCTTCTTCATGGTCTTCTGTTAAGTTTCTCAAGTTCCACATAGGAGTGAAAACATACGCTATCTGTCTTTCTCTGACTGACTTATTTCACTTAGCATAATACCCTCCAGTTCCATCCACGTTGTTGCTGCAAATGGCAAGATTTCATTCTTTTTCATTGCCAAGTTTTATTCCATCCATTGTGTGTGTGTACACACACAAACACACACACACACACCCCACATTTTCTTTATTCATTCATCAGTTGATGGACATTTGGGCTCTTTCCATAATTTGGCTATATAAATGACGTTTTAATTGCCATATGCTGGTGAGTCACGATGCCATGCCATCAGCTGAGGTCCTCAAAGTTTTCTTTACTATGACAGTCCCTGATGTAGGTGATAACAGGTCCTCTTTTAGATGGGGACCTGGCTCCTTTCACATCCTAGCTGTATATGTGACACTAAGTGACATATTGATTTTTTATAGCTACCAATCGCTTACAGCTGTTGAGAATATAAGATAAAAAGAAAGCAATTAAACAACACTGTCTTCGGGTTGCCTATAATCTCATCGGGGAGGCAAAACCTACTCTTCAAACTGGTCATTGTTACTTCTGATTTCACCTGCAGCCGGCATTCTTCCCCATCACTCAAAAGGATCTCTCCAGCACCCATTCAAGTGTGTTGATGAGTGGGCACCAGGCTAATTAGAATTCACTGGACATACTCTCAGCAGGTACACATTAGCAACCCAAGAATAGAAGAGACACAGGCCAAATACTTACCCTACTGTGCTGAGTGTCTGAACTCCATAAATACGGGCAAGCTCCAGCACAGAAGTTGGCATTGTACCCTTTAGGTTCATGAATCCATTTCCACCCAAGATCCCTCTTGAAATCAATATAAAGTGGACGTAGGCAGCAATTATCCTGCACATTTCTGTTAGAAGAAAGAGCGGTGGAGATTTTAAAGCTGATTTCCCCCACCCCTCATTCCAAGTCAGAAAAATGACTCATTCACTCATTCAAATGGCATCCAATGAGCACATTTCATGGGCCAGGTTTGAATGGTTTTATAGTAATCTCGAACGACTTCCACGATGGAGTGTTACGATGATTTGCTGGACTACTTTCCCTTGTGAATTCTATACCCTGAGTCTTTTGCCCATACCTTTCAACGTCAAACCTTTCCCTAGAATGACTATATATACGCAGAAAGGTGGCTGGAAGAGATCAGTTTTGCCAACCAGCCTCGATTGTCCTTTAAAATATAAAATGAATCAAGTATGACAGCTATTTTCAAAGAACCACCTAAGACATTTTCCTTTGAGAATGAATCCTTCATTTTATCTCATGTCTCTTGATCCAGGAACGAAACAGAGATCAAAAAACGTGGAGCCTTGCTTAGTGCAACCATCGACTGTGGCGAGCAAAAAGAAGCCATTTTACTCATGAACTCTTGGAGCAGTTCTCATCAGTGAGAACCCCTCACTGCCCACCCCCCGTCCCAGCTCTCAAAATAAAAAGAGAAACTTCCTCTTATGAGGCTTGATAAGAAACCACAGGAGAACACTAGCACTCTCTCCACCATGAACTCTTATAAGAATGGGAAATAGATTTGAGTTGCCTTTAGTCCCTCATATTCTGTAGCTAACGACACAATAAATAGCATTCTACTTCTATTTCTCTCATATCTGTTACTATGACAAAAGGTATGACCATGGGCACTCTACTCTACTGTTGGGGGTGGGGGAGGGGAGGGTTTTCCAATACAGATAGTGAGTCTTTCCAATTAAGGACCCATCACCATACCCCTCAAGTAAACTTATATTTGCTTTGGGGAGCAAGGAGCTCAATTTCTTCTTCGGCCCCCGGGTGCTTCCGAGAGATCTGGGAAACAACTTCAGGAGCTAATTTTCTGACTTCACCCTTGGTTCATTGCAAGAAGCCGATGACTACAACGCAGAAAAACTGTTTTAAGCCTCTGGGAAGAATGACCTTGGGAGATATGATGGCTATACTGTACTGTATGTACCTGGCCTCAAGCAATAAGTGCAGTTTTCAGGTCAATTGGTAAGAAAGGGCAAAGGCAGTACAAGAGTCAACAGACATAATTACTTCGTCTTATTTTTATTTCCTTTACCTAAAACAATAGGCTGCATCCAAAGCACGCTTCTTCCGCCGGTTGGACTGTTGTGACTCAAGTCTGTAGGAGGGCAACAACATTAGCAGGAGGTGTGGGGTCTTTCCACTGTTTTTTTTCCTAGTGGACTTTATAGTTTTCTGATCACCACTGGTATATGTGGAGGTGCCATCAATACCTTGAAAAAATGCATTTGGGTAACAAACATTTAGCTTTACCTTCATCAAATATAACCAGCCTTTTTTTTTTTTTTTGCTTTGTATTCTATCACAAATGGCAGTGATGACCACAACAGCATCATCACCTGGCTACAATCATTCCCCACGTAAATAGGACATAAGAAGACAATTGGAGGTGACAAGGAACACTTCTAACTGCAGCTGCTCTCGTCAGGAGGCAGCTCGGTGTCCAAGTCAGGGCTTGTTGGTTATGAGGATCACTACAGAAGAGGCCTTTGACCATAGTCCAAGGGCAACCTAGGTCGTTTATTTTAGTCAACCCTCAGTTGAGGCCACGTTCAGTCCCTCAGCGACTGAAAAGAACATGCCTTGTCACCCACCAGTCCACTCTCTTCCTAAGACTACTAAACTCAGAAGATTTCTCTAATGAACATAACCCGAGACTTACACTAAATTGCAGTGAATTAGGTTCAAGTGAAACAGAAGTCACCCTTACCTAATGCTATTTTGGGAAGCGGCGAAGAAAGGGCTTTTTCATTTATTTTATGGCATCCTCAACACTTTCCTGTTCCATCTGAGATTTAGAAACTCGAGCTCCCCAAAGCATGCTCAAGAGACTGCCAGTTTAAGCATTTAATCTCCACACTCTAGAGAATCATGGCTAGGTTAGAGACTGAAATAAATCTCTAGACTTCTGGGAGTGTTTTTCCATGAGTAAGGGCCACTGTAGCCTTCTGCATGAGGATGAAGGTCTCAGGTGGTGGTGGTTGGGAAGGGAACTCAGCTCCCAGATGCGGTGGTATGGAGTCCATACAGCACTAGCCCGCAGCACACTTCCTTCTTAACGCTTATCTCCAAACTGGTTATCTAATAAGAGAAGTTGCCTCAAACCCTTGGTATCTCTTCACTCTCCTTGAACTTTGGCTAATCACTAAGAGGGAAGCAAAATAGGGGAAAACTAAAGACTTAGAGTTATGTGTTTTTTAAATGATTATAAAAGTCTGATAAGGAAGCCGTTTGCTAGGAAAGGTGGAGTGTTCTGATCCGTATAAGGTTAGTTAAAGAGGCTGTGGTGTGAAGAGATTCCCTTCTGTGAAATACAGTTGTGAGCTCCCGACATTGGGTCTGGGGCATTATCAATGGATTTCCTTGAATGTCCGCTATCGTCGTCTATAATACCAGCACGGGTGGAAAGTTGGTTCGCTTAAATGAAGACCAAACGGGTTAACAGACTAATAGTTTGGGAAGTTGATGAATCAGCCAGTTACTACTGCCCGGTCATCACCGGGCACTGAGCAACATAAACAGGGAACCAATTCCTTTGTCCCAATCCTTTCTGCCTTTATATATCTTTATCCAACCATTTTTTTACCCACACAACTAAAACTCCCCAGGCCTCACCAAACAATCCCGATTTCACCTGCAAACTGATTTCGTCCCCCATGAGACTATCAATATAGGCCCTTCCCTCCCCCACCTCAAATGACCAAGTTTCAGTTACCTGCAAATCTTGCTTCTAGCTCTTCACTTTTATTGGGAATGATGTAATTATTAGATGGCACAAAGGTGCAGCAGGGACAGTGTAAGCTTATTTTAAATCCCAGGTTTCTGTCTGGAAAACATGAAGTCAAGGAGGTCATTTGGATGTGTGACAATACCCTTAAATCTGCAATCAACTTACAATAACTTAAGGTCACCGAACAGCTAGGGATGAACACAGAGGGTGGTTGTAAACCTTTATGGTGGAGCCATTCGTGAACGGCGTCAGTTACATCGAAGGAAAGCCATTCGCCTTCTGCCCTTGTCTTCACGACTTTGCTGTCAATGTAGCGCTGGGTTGGAGACGTTAAGTCTTTGGATTTGAGAATCTGGGGAAGGAAAGGAGAGAGAAAGGAAAAAGCTCAGCTGGCATATGGACAGCATGCCTAACCCAAAACCATTAACGCTATTCCAATTCATTATCTAAATGTAGCTCCACTCTGGTATCATCCCCGTGTATTGTCATTTAATAGCATGGCCGTGAGCATAAAAACATAACACCAGGCCATCTGCCATGAAAAATAGAGCTACTAAGTCATCTGTGTGTTAGGATAAAGGTGACAAGAACCTTAAAGCCAAGTGTCTAAAAGAAAGTGACAGTAATTATTTTTACTTTGCTGATATAAGCTTTGCAAGATTTCAGCCATAAATTCTATTCCAATAAGTTAATGGCTTTGTTGTTCTGCTTCTCCATTTTTTTTTTAAATTTGGGGAGCTGGAAGGTGGGGAGGGACAGGAGGAGCGGGCCAGTTCAGAGGATCCATGCCCACACTCTGGAAGGCTCTGAATTAGAAATCTCCTTCTAATAAAGACAAAAAGGTCTCACCCTGGTTTCTAAATCCACCAACATTAATATATGTGGCATGCCTCAGCTTTTGAGGTAAATCTCTAGCTGGGATTTTTACTCTCAATGTGACTTGTTATGATTTATAAAGATATTCCATATCCCACAGACCAAGAATGAATTTGGGCAGGAGCAGTCTGGCAGTGTGTATTAAGAGCCTGAAAGCAAATCAGCCTGAACACTGAGACTTCAGAAGGATTCATTTATTTCAAATACATAAAGAGCAACTATAGGGTTTCTATAGGAAGTGAATATTTTATGTGGTTTTTAAAAATTCTGTCTGTCTTTAAATGATAGTGTTTTATGAACCAGTCAAACCAAGATCCCAGGTCTCCTAGAGCTTTATTAAATCCCTACCCAAACCTGTATCTTGCCTTTCCTTAGTGCCTGGGGTCTCAAGCCCTATTATGTGATACCTGCCCCTCCTGATATTAAGTCTAACTACTCTGTGCTCATTTCATACATGTAGGTTTAGTCTCTCCATCAAGTTCATAAGCTTCCCCATGGCCATGATCACATCTTTGATTTGATGCCATTTCAAAGCACTGCACTCAATTTAATCACTGTATCTTACATGACTCTCTGAATACCCAGAAGACTTATTTACTCTCCTTTAAACCTTGCAAAACAAAAATGCATACTCTTCTTGCTGATTTCAAAATGAACTTTTCTTCCCTGGGTATACATGATTTGTTTCAGGTACTTTTGCAACAAATGCTTCCTAAGATATTTGGCGTTATGGTCGACTTTTTTCTGGATTAAGTACATTTAGAAAAGGAGAGACATTCACACAATTGAATTTTGGGGGGCCTTCAGTGAATTTTAGACAAAACCTACTCTACGGTCTTGCCCCTGAGGTTCAACAAACCCCCACTAACTGAAGACAATCTAGAGGCAATCGTGATTCTACCACAGGCAAGAGATGTTCTTTGTGAATTAAAGGAAGCAAGTAAACATGGCTTGAGGGCTGTGCTCACTGGGTTCTGGGCTTGGCACACATGATTTCATTTCATTTAATCCTCAAAACATTCCTGTAAAGTAGATTGAGGAAACAGAGACCTGGGGAGGTTAAGTAACTCATGCAGTGCCTCATGGTGAACACGTATTGAGAGAAGATTCAAAACAATCCCCTAATTTTCCCGTTTCAGTGCTGGATTTTGAAGGCCAAAGAGTTATGGGGGTCAGTTTTGAATCATGATTCATGCTTACCCCTTTCCAGGTAACAAAAAACATTCAGTGATAGAAGCAGCGATTTTTTAATAAGATTATAATAAATGTTGGTACAAGACGGAAACATAACGTGTGGAATGTACACACAGTTAATGCAGTCATAAACCTATAACTTTAAAGGTACAGCTTAAAAGCAGTCCACTTCTCTGTAAATCAAACCATGTTTTGAAAACACTCCCAGTTGGGCAAATAAGACACTACACATCCAATTCATAATTAATGGTATGATTAATCTAACCTAGGATAACAATGATATAACAATGG